TCCAAAGATAATCATCATATTCTATTTATTAGATCTATTTATACTCTATCAAATAGAAAAAATCTCAATAATTCTACATTATGTTTAATTTTTAAGATCTTAAATTTTGAAAATATCTTCACAAATGAGCAATGTTTATTTACCAAAGAACATAAAAAGGTTTAAGTGTGTTATTAAAATTATAATGAATAGCATAACACCCTATTACTAATATAACAATTAAAATAAAATAAATGATAATAAATATTAATTAAAATAAAATGTACTGTTAGAAGTATAATTAAGACCTTAAACCCTTCCTAATATAAATTGAAATTGCATTAATGAAAAAGTGGAATCTTTTTATCAAAAGAATTTACGACATGATTGAACAAGAAGATTAGCTGTATCTAAATTTAATTAACACTTATGATTAAAAAAATTAATACTTGGAATTATTAAGAGATAATTGTTTCAATTAATTAGACAAAGTTAATGAATGGCTTAAGGAGGAAATTGATAAATTCATTTAAATTATCCATTAAAAATTGTAAAAAGTTTTACAAAATGAAAAATGGTAAAAATGTTAAGGTTTGGAAGAGTATAACTGGAAATAATAAAAATCTGAATTTTACATAAGTTTTACAAAAAATAATGAAATACATTATCTTAAAAATGGTGAAATCCTTTAAATGTATTATTTAAATAATTTAGATATAAATTTCATGAATTAGAAACTAGAGTAATAAAAACTAATTTGGAAGAAATAAAGCATCTAAAATGGATAGGAAAATTTTAAAATAATATCAAAAAAGTCGGATTATGGACAGCTACATGGAAAGGTGAAGCTTTGTTAAGAGTTGGTGGTTTATATTTGTAAAATGGCAAAAAATAAGGTAAATGGAGTGAACAGTTCAAAAATTTTTCTGAGTATTATTTAATTATATAATATTAATAGAAAGGCTAAAGTAATTGAAGTTGGAGATTATGAGGATGATTAAAGAATAGGAACTTGGAGATATATTTATGAAGATAAAAACAGGTATTTCT